TTGCATTTTACTTTGCTACTGTTGAGGCTAGCACCTGCAAAGGTTATTACGGGTGGGAAAATAGACAGGTATTTATTTTTATTTTGCAAAAAGTTAAATCAAAATTTAAAATTCACTGTACGATGGTATAGCTTGTCCTTTTCTCCGGGGTATATAGTTTTTCCCTTGTTTTTCTTTTTTATATGTAGTGATTGCGGAGTTATATCCCGGCATAACGTAATTCGATTCGGCATAGGCACATCATGAAACGTGTCATTTTTACCAAAACAAATTTTATTTCCATAAAAGTCATTTAAACCCTTATCTCTATTTATCTTATCTCTAAGTAAAAAAAACTGTATTTCAAACACCACTAGGTGATTTTACTTAGCTTTAATAATACTTACAAAACTCTAATGTCTTAATAAAGGGGAAAAATAAGCAATACTTCTTTACGTATCCATGGCAACAAATTATGCTCAAGGCAAAGCACAAAATAAATTTTCACCGTAACARRGTAAATATGYCTAAAAATGTCTAGTAACAAAATAACATTGAGTGGGTGCTGGGTACACAAGGGATTGGACATCTGKATCAACAACAGTACTGTAGTGGGTCTCAATTGGATTAACCGTCAACCAATATAATAAATTAGAATCTTTGGGATCTTTTTCATGGAATCGATAATCTTAGAGCTTGGTCCCTGTCGCCTATACCTTATTTTTATTAGGAAATTATTTTGTCGAATAATGCTTTCGCCCACTTGACGTTTACATTTCCTTACTCTCCCCTCCCCCTCCTAGCAGAATTTTCCGGGATTCGWAACACTTCTCATCGTGAAAATAAGTGTAACTTCACGTTCCTACGGTCTGTGGTACATTTTATTTGAACACAATCAAGGTTGTRGTTTATCTGAAACAAAATTACTAGAATCACAACTTTTACCTTGAAAAAAAATCTGAACGCAAACTGATTAATGTCTCCGAAGGAGGATGAAGACACACAAAATAATTCAAAATGTAATACATATCAATCACTTTCATCGGGGTTATGAAGGTTCATTCAAAAACAAAATTCCTCAAGGGTAC